CCCGATTGCTCGCTCTGACATTGAGAACTTCACTGGCGAGTCTCACTTCCGCTGGATCATCCCCGATGAGGCCCACGGCAAGGAGATCGACGAGCCCGAGAAGATCGAACGTGTTATCCTGTGCTCTGGCCAGGTGTACGCCGCTCTCCTCAAGCACCGTGAGACCAACGGCATCCGCAACACGGCCATCACCCGTGTCGAGCAGCTGCACCCCTTCCCCTGGGCTCAGCTGAAGGAGAACCTGGACAGCTACCCCAACGCCCGCAACATCGTGTGGGCCCAGGAGGAGCCCCTGAACGCCGGTGCCTGGAGCTACACCCAGCCCCGCATTGAGACCCTGCTGAACGAGACCGAGCACCACAACCGCCGTCACGTCCTGTACGCCGGTCGCGCCCCCAGCGCCTCCGTGGCCACCGGTCTCAAGTCGGTGCACTTGAAGGAGGAGCAGGAGTTCCTGCAGGATGCGTTCACCATCCACCAGGAGCGTCTCAAGGGCGAGTAAAAGGCATTCTGGTCGTTGGGTTTGGGCGCTAGCGTCTCGTCGTTCCGGTCTTTGTATGATTTTCCTTTGTCTGCAGCATAGTGTACACTGCTTTTACAGTCATGCGGATGTTGGGGTTGGTCTCTGTTGGCATCTGTGGCATGTCTGGCCCTATACCTTGCATGTGCATGTGCACGCATGTAAATTAAACCTTGATATAATTCAGTTTCTGGTTTAGATAGACGATACCACGAGTCGTGCTGTGTAGGCTTCCTGGATAGCTCTGAGAGCGTAGTCGTGTTGTGTCTTCGCCGGACTCCGTATACTTCCGTTGAAGCCGTCCATAATTGATGACGTCATCCCTGATCGGCTGAGTCAGCGAAACTCCTGCCTGCGGGCCCAGGCACCAATCACCTGATGGCCCGAAGGGGAAAGAGGCTCTGCCAGGTCTTCTCCGCACTGCAGCCTCCATCGCTCCAACTTCTATCCCGGTTGCGCCTGCGTTGTCCATGTTCCGGCTGTGGAGCGATCGAGCAGCCAGTATCTCGGAGTGTTTCCTGTTCCCCGATTGAGTCGCTTCTCCGCCGCCTTTTTTCGCCATGTCCACCGCTGCTCCAGCGGCCGTCACCACTCAGGGCCAGAGTGCTCGCCAGTCGACGCGCCAGACGAGAACGAACCCATCGCGCACCTCCCGGACTCTGGGCCGTTCATCCTTCGCTTATGGCCATGCGACGATGACTGATGCCGTTTCTTCTACTCCTGTTGCTCACGGATTCTACCCTGCCCTCACTCATTTTACCGACGCCATCACCGCTCTCCCCCGGGAATTTCGCCGTCACAACTCGCTACTGAAGGAAGTCGATGCGAAGGCCTGGGCTCTGGAGGATAATCTACTGCAGCTGCTTCAGTCATCATCGGAATCGCAGCCTGTGCCTTATCCGTCGAATCCTGCCCCAGTCATTGCTGGAACGGTGCGAGAAGATCTTTTGTCCTCTGTGCGTCATTGGGTGCAATCATTTTGGTTACAGGAAAGTTCGCTAACAGCATCGCTCATAGGGTATCTTACAAGAGCCCGAATCGCAGGACAGCAAAACCCGCCGTGCCCTGTTCGACCGTGTGCGACATACCCTCTCGGATCTGATGATGACGGCGGACGAGAAAAACCATGTGATCTCCAATGCCAACGACGAACTCGACCGCCAACTCACCCGTCTCAACACTATTTTCCCGTTCATCGCAGGAGAGATCAGCGAGGAGGCTCGTCTGGGCAGTCTCACACATTGGGCATACTCGAATCGAAATGCGGCTAAGGCTACCACCAGCGAGCGTCCTCGCCGGGAGGCTGCATCGACCAAAGAGCTGGTGCACGCTCTCCATGAGGCTGAGGCTGCTTCGCGGAGTGAGGCCAGACGCGAGGCTGTGATGGCTCGCAGACAGCGCCGCGCACATGCTGATTCGGACCTGGATGATGTGCGGGCGGGCGGGGCTCGGAAGGGACAAAATAGCAAGTCTCGCGGTGCGGGTGCTACTGGTGAACAATCTGGCACACATGGTCAGGGAAATACTGCGTCAGGCCAGCCCAAGCGACGCAAGGTCGAGCGGCCTCCGCCCGTGGAAATGGGGGCTGCGATGGAACGGTCGGCCAGCGGTGCAGGTGCCTCGGGACGAGCCGCCTCGAAGGATGCCGCTGATACGACGAAGAAGAGGTCGCGGGCACCGAATGCGAATGCGGCTTCGCGAAAGAGGTACGTCTCGAGTCGCCTGGCTTGGGGGATTGTGACTTATGATATAGTAGAAACACGACGAATGCCGCAGCTGTGGATTCACCCATTCTGGCACCGTCCCCTGTAGTGGCTGCAGCTGCCATTCCGCGGAGTGCCGCCAGCCCGGGACCTGGTGCGGCGCGACCGCAGTCCTCTCGAACCCAGCAGAGCTCTGGACCAGCGAACAACAGCCGTCAACGACCATCCTCGTCAGCGTCAAATCGTGTGGCCAGCAATAGTGAGTGTCGTGTGAACCCGATGACTCGAGTCTTCTAACTGGATCTTACTGCAGGCAAAACCACGGAACCCAAACCGGCCGTCAAAGAGACAACGTCCAAGATCGAAGCCCCCCCTACCTCCAATCCGGATACACAAAGAGCAGTGGAAGAGCAGGTGCTGGATGTCGCTAAGGTCCCGCCACCGGTGCCGCCCAAGCGAGAAGAACCTGATGGAAAGCCCGCCCCGTCCATCGAACCCAGAGAGACCCCCGCGCCTCCCATTTCCAATCCTCCCCCCAAGGGACGATCGTCCAAGACATCGACCCCCGTCCTGCCTCCCTTCACCGAACCCGCTCCGCGCGTGCGACCGACGCGGAGCACGGATCCCGCACCCGCCAAACGGTCCCATAAGAAGAACGGCAGCGTGCCGGTGGTAGCACCACGGGCGGCGTCGGAGGAAGAGGAGTCCCTCCACGAAGGCGACGACGAGGACGAGGACGGCGAGCCGAGATATTGCTACTGCAACGAGATCAGCTTCGGCGAGATGGTGGCGTGTGACAACGATGCCTGTCCACGCGAGTGGTTCCATCTGTCGTGCGTCGGGTTGACGAAACCGCCCGGGAAAAACGGTGAGTTTTCTTTCCTCTCTTACTTACAGCAGTAGAATCAATACTAACGAAGACAGTAAAATGGTATTGTAATGAGTGCAAGGAGAGCATGCGACGGAGTCGAAGTGGGCGATGATTTTGGCTAGTTGAGGCGGACACTGGGTTTACGGCGTAGATTGCTGTGCTGGTTGCTGGTCTTGCTGGGTTGCGGTGGTGGAAATATGCTAGATGTGTACATATATAGGTTTTCAGCTGGTAGAGCAATATTTCTACTTTTCGGGGTGGATTTATTTCTATGATTTTCCTATCGAACTTTTATATGATGTAGAATTCCGATATTATCACACTAGAGAGTATTATATTACTACTTGTCTGCTGTAGTAGTAGTATAGAAGTATGAACTCGGTGACGCTGGAAAGGCCGCAAGCTTTCATGATACATTAGTTCATCGCCTTGGATATTTATTTTCGGGGCAGTGGCCATCGCTGCTTTGATTTTGTGGTAAACTGCTGAAGCGTAGCTACCTACCCTTTTTAAACTTTGAATATTTGAATTTTTGTCGTTCAATGAGGCTTTAATGCTTTTTGTTCGGAACATATTTCTTTTTATATATTTAGTAAGAATTTATACACGCACAGCTACCTGACGCCTGATTTTGGCCTCAATCTTGGTTACACAACATATATACAATCGGATTAACCAAACTACTACCTCGAACATGACTTAGTTTGAGGGTGTTAGATATATATATCATTGCCCTAGAGCTCCTCGGACGACGAGTCACCCCTTTGCATCTGATACTCCCTTGTCTTTCTCCAGAAAATCCTCCGATCGATCTGTGTACAAATCACTCCGCATCGACCGGTACAGCATCTCGATGACTAGATAGATATCTTCGTCCCAGAGCTGATGCTCTAGAGCTGTGATGTTGTCGATGATGCAGAGGATTTGTTTGTTGGGTGGCAGCTGGAAGATGAGTTGTCAGAACGTGAAGCACAGTGCTTCCATGTAGTTGTCGTCGTGCTTGGGATTGTGAGGCTGCATTGAAACGCCCGGCTCGCTCCACCAAGGACAATTATAAACGCCCGGAGTGCCACGCAGGCAGTAACATCGGAGACAGCGGGCAACGAATGAATGACTTTGCCTGGAGAAGCCCGTTTAGCGCCCATCCAAGCTGCATGGGACGGACGGCCCGATACGTCAATCTCGCCGGGGAAGGCGCCGGCTACTCGTCCATCGCCTTGTCCCCAGCCTTCTTGCCGCCAGTTGAATTCGCTCTCCCTCCATGGGAACACTCGTCAGAAACTCCTTACCGATACGTCGAAGGAACCCCGTCAAAGGGATACCCAGATCGTTCATGCTCCGGGCAGAAAGCGAAAATGACCAGTGAGGTAATATGAGAGCCTGGATGCGCATCGTGGTATTTCGATTCTGATAGATTCCGATTCCGTTGATACACAAATACTCAGAGCGACCCTCTACACCCTTGTGAGTAATTGTAAGAAAACAGAGTACTTGAGACCGATTAGTTCTGCAATGTGTGTACGAGTACAGCGGACGCGCGACTTGAAATTTAGAAAAGCTGATAGAGAGTCACTTTTGTACGATCTGGTTGGATCGAGGAAATGGGGAGTATGGGAAATCGAAAGCAGTGTAGATTGATTGGACTGGAACGAACTGTGCGTGGAGTGGGTAGTAAAATAGCTCGGAAGCATCTACCGAGAATCCTTTCCCTGAGATCTCCAATAAACCGGGAATATCCCCGGGGGGCCGAGGCATCAGTGATTATCTCTCGATATCACTCACTGTATGATGCTAGACCAGAACGCGAACCGTTATACCCTTTCGGGTAAATCGGGTCATCAAGATTACAGCTGTAGGAAATTAATACCTCATGTCGCATAACCTCGACCAGCCGTCATCGACACATGTCTCTGTGGTGTAGTTGGTTATCACGTGGGTCTCATACGAATCAGTATGACTAGGAGTTTCACTTCTGGGTTATCCCAAGGCCGGGAGTTCGAACCTCCCCGGGGACATTTCTTTTTTCTTCCTTCCTATTTTTGCTTTCTCACGTGCCTAGTATCTATATATATCTCTTGCTTGGTTTCTTTCTTTCTTTCTTTTTTTGCAAGATTTGTCGAAACCTATTTGTATTTCTTGCAATAAGATGTTTATCTTTTTCTTTGGTAGGGGTGGGGGAAAAGAGTATCCAAGCTTTTGCCGGTTGTATATTGCCATGGATTCAACAACTTTCTTCCCCACATTGTGGAATCGCTGAAGTGTGATGTGAAACTTGTCTTTTCGCGGAGATATGACGACTAACGTCCGATACTTCCATCCCATGATCATGTCATGATTGTTCCAAAAAAAAAAAAAACCTTCCTGTACCAGCCCGTGGGAACACAGCAGCCACCCTGTCCATATCCACACAAAACCAGCACGGATTCTGGGGTATATACGTCTCAATACAGCAATAATGAGAGCTTTATGATACATGAATTTGTATGTAAATATCATCTGATGTTAGAAGTTTGGCAAGTCTCGAATATAAATACCCCCCGACTCGCTGCAGAGATAGCTCTTCCAATCCAGACCCGTTTTCATCTCTTGAATCTTTCTTTACTACACTCCCTACAGAACGAGCAAGCAAGCAAGCAAGCAAGCAAGATGTCCTCCTCATCCCAGAACCCCAGCCCCAAGGGCAAGAACCCTAAGAACCAACCCCAGACCCCCACCCCGACCTCCAAGTCCAATCCGCTCAGAGCCAGAGCCAGAGCCAGAGCCAGAGCCAGAGCCAGAGTCAGAGTCAGAGCCAGAGTCAGAGTCAGAAGAGCAAGAGCACGACCTCTCCGCAACAACCCCAACAACCCCAACAACCCAAACCCAACGCCAAACCAACACGCAACTCCCCCAAGTCCGCTGGCGGCATTCCCTCGATCCGTGACCTGCGCGGGGGCTTGATGTCCCCCCTTTCGCCTTTTGATGGGGTTTCCGATGGATCACCCTCTTATAGTGAGTCTTATTTCGGTGGGTCTCCCTCGTTTGATGGACCCTCGTTTGATGGACCCTCGTTTGATGGACCCTCGTTTGATGGACCCTCGTTTGATGGATCCTCTGGGGATATGGGGTCCTCAGATTAGATGATACTTTTAAAAAAAAATATGTGGATAGAAAGATATAGAGAAATAGAGATGGAGTTATGAGACTTTTTTTTTTTTTTTGGAGTTGTGGGAGGGGGGTGATTTTTTTGATATGTTGGTTTTCCTGCTGGGGTTAGGGTTTGCTTCAAGGATGAGTGAGGGGAGTCTTGCTTTGCTTTGCTTAGCTGGTTTTATCAATTATTATTTTGATGATTGATATGGTTTTGATATAGTTGCCATTTTTACCTATTTTTTCTATAATATCATTGATTTCTTCTCCATTGGTTTTTGGAATACTCTTGCCGTGGGCGATAATTTGTAGGTATAGAATATAGGCTTGGGGTTGGCTGTTACTCACCTCGATTTCGTATTCTGGGTGAGGAAGAACTATCCTCCTTGTATGAGGGTTGGTTAGGACGACAAGCAATAAGAGGATTAGGGGTGTTAACGAACTGTTTGATCCGATACTCCATGATAATGCAAGCCGAACAGATCGAAAACCGGTATCAAGGCATATAGTATCTATCTACACTGCATCCATACTCATACTTATACTTCCCATGCAACCCCCAACAATACATCCTACCCCAACACCTACACCCCCATCCACCCCATTCGAAACCCTGCACCCCCGCCCATAATTACAATCTATAACCAGATATCATTAAATCGAACCCAATCCTACAAATTAAAAACAAACCCAGACCAAAACCAAGGTCTGTATCAAGATCTACCCACTCCTCCTCATCCTCCCCCCACCCCCAACATCACTCGCACTGGCACTGGCACTGGCCGCAACGGCCTCACCCTCCAACCGTCTCCTCAAATCCTCATACCTCCCCTCGCCCCCAGTTCCACTCCCACTGCCAGACCCATTCCCATTCCCGGCCCCCCTCCTCTCCTTTTCCCCGACCATCCACGCCGGCACGCGCCACGAACCACCCAACCCGGGCAACGGAAACACCTCCATGCGCCACGCCCACCCGACACACCACCCCACCGCAGCGGGTAGCAACATGCTCGGGAACTGCGACAGGGCGAGCTGCGCCGCGACCAGATACGTGGTGGACTTATCCGAGAGGAGGATCGTCAGCGAGGACGAGGATTTCGCACTTTGTCCCTGGGTCTGGCCCTGAGGGGTATCTTTCGGCGATGGAGTCGTAGATGTAGAAGACGTAGCTGTCGGGGCAGCAGGAGTAGCAGCAGCAGCAGCAGCAGCAGCAGCAGCAGGAACCGACGGGCTAGTTGTCGAAACGCGATAACTAAACGTCCTTGGCACGGCGGCATGATACTGTGCCAACAGGGCAAACACGGTTGCGACGGGGCCGGAGGGCAAATAATTGAGGGTTCCGAGGGAGAGGGGTCTCAGGACGAGGATGAGGAGGAGGGGCGGGAGGATGGTCGTGTAGGGGAGGGTGGTTAGGAGGAAGGTCTATCATTCATCCATGATTCATTACATTAGTAACTATCTCTGTAGCCTGGAGTTTGAATGTTGGGGGAGGAGGGCAGGGGCATGTACAGCAAACTTCCTCTTCCCCCAGCTCCGCTCCACCACTCGCAGATGGTACGCCAGCATGGCGGCGAACAGCGCTTCCGTGGAGTTCGCGAACCCGGCTACTTGCCACACCAGCATGCGCCAGAACTGTCCATATTGCCAGATGTGCGGGGCGACGTGGATGGAGGTGAGGTGTTTTAGGTCGAAGATGGCGAGCGCGATGGATGAGGCGATCGTGTAGATGAGGAGGGCTTTGGTGACGGGGGCGTTGGTTAGGCCGGAGGTGAGCATTTTCGCTCGCTCTGTTGGTGGTGGTGGTCGGTGGTGGTTGGGTGAAGTGGGGGTGCAGAAGCCCGGCGTAGCTGCTAGGACATGGGGTCGTTTGGATGTTGTTGTTCTTGTCGTTGAGGAGGAGGAGGTGGAGGTGCCGAGGTGGTGAGGGGAGGAGAGGAGAGGAGAAGGGGGCCACGTCGCGTGAAGCGGGCCGAGGCCGAGGGCGGAGCGGAGGGCTCGGCATGCCGATGCTTAGTTGCCGTATGGGGATAAGATGATAAAGGATGCATAGATACAGAATTCCACATCATTATTTAGGTCTATTCTATCGTACACAGCTATCCGGGAGGTGCCTCCCTCATTTCCTCCGCCAACGCCTGATTATACTTGGCCATCGCCGTCTCCAACGCCCGGATCGTTGGCCCAAGCAATTGATTGACGGCCTGCTCCCCCCCAGCCACGTTGGCCAGGTTGATCCGGAGCTTTTTCTTCGTCGCCTCCAGAACTTCGCGTGCATGGCGCTTGAGCCGGTCCACCTCCACCTGTCGCTCCGCCTCCGCGTCCTGCGCCACCGCCTTGATGCGCTCCATCGCCCGGTTGAGAGACTCCACCAGAGAGGCCAATTCCCCCGCACGGTCCGGATTGCCGGACAAAAACGCTTGCCAAAATTGATGTAAAAACTCCGTCGTCGTCGCATGCGTCAGCGTCAACCGATCATACAGCGCCGACGACAACCCGTACGTGCCCGTGTTGGAAGATGCCTCGGCCTGGGCGCGACGGTCCCGGATCGCCTCGAGAACCTGGGCCGACGCGCGTTTCAAATTGGCCCTGGATCCAACCTCGTTGTCGTGCTTGTGTTCGTCCTCCTCGTCCTCCTCCGGTTCCACCAACTTTCCCAGCGGCGCGGTTCCGCCCTCGGGTAGATTCTGCCCGAGGTCCCGGCGCAAATCCCCCAGGATCTTGGCTGGATCCTGTTGAGCGAACAGTTTGCTCTGCTCATCCTCAGCCGATTTGGCCTGCGAGGAGAAAAAGCGACTCTGGTCCTTGATATTGAGGAGGATGCGGTTGTGCTCCTCGTCGCCACGCAGATCGCGCAACCGCAGCTCGTTGTACGTTTCGTCCTCACCCGCAGCGGTGTTCATCTCTCCGTCCGCTGGCGCGACGTTCGCCATGATCTTCTCGCTGAGACTATTCAATGTGCGAATGATCGGCACCTTCTCCACCGATGACGGACGCATGTCGACGTCGGGACGGTTGCCTTGCCGCTGGCTGTTGTTTACTTCGTTTCCGGCCAAGTCCAAAAAATGCGGAACCTGCGTATCGCGCGGGAGATTTCCAGATTCGTCCGCCTTGAGGTATTTATCCAGCACCACATCGGTCGGGTCCGTATCGGACAGGCGCTCTCCGCGCAGTTTCTTGAACAGCCGACTCTGGAAAAATCTAGACCAAAACTGCTGTTCGCTGAGCTTGGGCACATTCTCGTCGTATACGTGCTTGACCAGCGGGTGTTGGTTGAAGATCAACTGGATCTGCTCCTTGCTGATGTTCAACTTCGTCACGCTTTCCTCCACCCGCGGTTTCAATGTTGATAGCACATTGTAGGATCCACGTGTCTGCGACCGTTCGATGGCATGTGCGCGTAGTAGATGGAGTCGGGTGGACCAGAACTGCGTCATGAACTGCCCGGCAGACAGCGCATCCGGCTTTGTATGTAACGACTCCATGAACATGCGCTGCAGGGTCGGATTCGACTTGAGGAGCGACTGCTGCAACTCCACGTCCCCTTGTAACCGTTTGTCGTCATCCCACGGGTTCTGCAGCTTTCCTGCCGATGATACCGCATTCGCTATCGCCATGGCGGGAGACACGCCTTCCTGCACGGGCGCACTAGGGGTCTTTGCAGCCTGGATGGCGGCGCTGAGTGCATCTCGAATGGCGTCCGCTTCAGGCCGCGCGGTGGCTCCAGCTGTGAAGGAGAAAACATATTGTTCGGGGGAGGTGGCCGGCGCGTTAAGAGGGAGGACAAAGATCTTCAGCATCACTTTCGGGCTGCTCGCGGGGGTCTGTTGCAAATCTATTCCGGTTGTCAGTACCGTCTCATGCGGGACCAAGCCAGTGGGAGCCGGGA